TGTTCCCACCCAAAACCTCTAGCTCCAGTCCACCCTCCCTCTCAAGCTGGGCTCTTGCCACCCATCTTGCCTTGCTTCCCACACTCTTCAGGACCTCTGTCCCAGCATTCCACAGGACCACTTTTGCAAGTCACCTGGGACCTTTCATTTCCCTGATCTCCTCCCATCATCTGTCTGTGCTGCAGTTCACACTAGTGGCCACTCCTGCTTCCTGAGATGTCCCTCCGCTGCTGAGCCCCGCCCCTGGGATCTCTTCTGGTCCCCTGACCACACTCTCTCTCCTGCGCAGGCGCCTCTCTCTGTCCTTAAATGTCCCCCAGGGTTTTCTTCTTCCTTTTCTCAACTCTTCACACAATCTCACCCATTCAAAATCACCTCGATCGCATACATAAATGTCTCCCAAGGGTCTAGCTCCAGATCCAGAGGTGTGTGCTCATTCTCCCTAGGATGGCCCCCAGACACCCCAGATGCAAGCCCACTCACCTTCTGCAAAGCATCTCATCTGCTCTGTGCAGGCATGACAAGGCCACTGATGCTGAGGCTTCAGGCTCCCCAAGGCCCTGAGCCTGCCTGTCCCCTCCACACCTCGTTATCTTCCCCAAGACCTCCTTACCAGATGTCTTGCCCAGAACTAATCCCTGAGCATTTCTCAGTCTTCCTGGTAGCTCACATCAAGATCACCCTGGCTAAGAGTCCACTGATAGAATCCACATCTGTGTCCATCGGGGAGAGGGCTGTCTGTTCCCATGGCTGCTCAGGACTGGGTAAGAGTTTTTATTAAATACTAGAGGCCTGGTGCATGAAATTCGTGCACGGATAGGGTTCCTAGGCCTGACTGGCGATCAGGGCCTTCCAGCTGCCAGCCAGAGCCTTCCTTCTGGCTGCCGGCTGGGGCCTCCCTTCCCTGGCTGCTTGCTGCAGGCTGGGGCCTTCGTTCCGCGCTGCCCTCTGGTGGTCAGCACACATCATAGCAAGCGATCAGTCTCCCGGTCAAACTCCCGTGGGGACAATTTGCATATTAGGCTTTTATATATAGATTGGATTTATGGGTCCACTGACCCTTCCCTGGGACATTGCACCATTGTCCACCTGGTAGCTGGCTCAACATCACCATTTTTGTAAGACCCTCACCCCATCTGGTCCTATCAATACTCAGGAGCTAAAGCCTAGCCCTCCCCCAGCTGGAGAGCCAGCTGCACCCTGAACCTCTGCAGGACCACCTGCCCCACGTGCCCTCCAGGCCACCCAATCCTCCCACCTGGAGCCCCAGCTCCCCAAAAGGCCCCCTCCACCGCCACTGCTCCAGGTGCCGACAGGCACTGGGGAAAGGTTGGGACCTTGGTGGCCCTCCCCTCAGTGACCTGTCATAATTCCATCTCCTCAGTGCCCCCCTGACCCTGTTTCTATTCCCGTCCTGTTACACCCCAGGGGGTTACATGTTCACCATCTACTTGGAAAAAATTTCTTTTTTTTCCCCCTTCCCGTGGCTTCAGCAAAGCACAAAACCAGATGCTCGTAAAGGCTAAACCAGTCCCTCAGGCTCCCTGCTCAGAATAGCTCTCTAGGGAGCCTGGTGGGCCCAGGTGGTACTGGAAGTGGGACTTTGGGGAAGCGGGTGCTGCACTCACTCTGCTGCTAGGCTGGGCTGATATTTCTTCCCTTTCCCAACCCACCTCTTGGCAGAAACAGGGAAACAAAGGGAATGTTGAATAGGGCCCAGCCTGCTAGTATATTCTCAAATTGCTCTGGTCTGGGTGAGAATGAAGTGGAAATTGCAGGAAGAATTTGGAATCAAGAAGAAATCCAGAAACTGGGGCCACAAAAGTCTGAGCCTTCAGAGCCAGGAGCCAGAATGAGAGATGCATTGGAGGCAGCTCCAGGGACCTCGACACTGATATTTGTGGAAGTCCTGTCACTGGTGGAGTTAGATGTTAGACCTCAGTCCTTGCGTTCAGCTAAGAAAGAACTCAGAGCCCAAAACTCAAATACAAGTGGAAGTTTATTTAGAAAGTCACAGAGATAGAAGAAGTGAGAGGTAGAAGAAACTGGCTCAGGAAACTAGTTACAGAGGCGAAAGAGGGGCCCTTGATGCTTAGGAGAAGGAATGCAAAGGTAACACTCCTGAGAGAAGAGGAGAAAGTCTCCGGCCAATGAGAGAGGGAGAGAGAGAGAGAGAGAGAGAGGTAAGGGAAGGGAAGGGAAGGGAAGGGAAGGGAAGGGAAGGGAAAGAAAAGAAAAGAAAAGAAAAGAAAAGAAAAGAAAAGAAAAGAAAAGAAAAGAAAAGAAAAGAAAAGAAAAGAAAAAGAGAAGAGAAGAGAAGAGAAGAGAAGAGAAGAGAAGAGAAGAGAAGAGAATATACTGGGTCCCTTGCCTTAAGGTCTTAGTGGAGGATCTCAATAGAATATTCATCAGCTTTCCAGTTGCATCCTTTCAGGGTCGTGGTCTCTACTGATTGGTCAGCACAAAGGTAGGGGGTCATTAATCCTTGCATCTGGTCCTGATGTCAGCCATGGAGTTGCTTCATCTGATTTTGCTTCTTTTCTGGGCCTGAAGCTGAAACACAACTGAGGCCTAAATGTCATCTCTAGTTTGACTAAAACTCTGTCTCTGTGGTCAACAGACCTGAGGCTTTGGTCCTACGATTTTTTAAAAAAATATATTTTATTGATTTTTTACAGAGAGGAAGGGAGAGGGATAGGGGGTTAGAAACATCGATGAGAGAGAAACATCAATCAGCTGCCTCCTGCACACTCCCCACTGGGGATGTGCCCGCAACCAAGGTACATGCCCTTGACTGGAATCGAACCCGGGACCCTTCAGTCCACAGGCCGACGCTCTATCCACTGAGCCAAACCAGTCAGGGCTGGTCCTAAGATTTTTTAATGGGGGTCAGAACCTCATTGTCCTGAGGGCTTAATGCTTAAGGGACTGGCCGTGCAAGGGCTTGCACAGGAGTCTATTCTCTGGCCCCCTTGTTCCTCCTCTAAGGGGATCTAAACCACATGATGAGCGATATAAAAGGTCCAGGTGTCTAAACAGCATGAAGTGACATGCCAGGGGAGGAAAGGCCACCCTGAGGGTAAGGTCCTACCCTATAATACTATTTTCCAAGTTTTGCCCATTACTAGGCACGCAGGACTTTCTGCCCTGGTGACATTCCTTTTGCGGCCTATTATTCCTGCTCTTCTCATGCCTGTCTTAACCCCTCAGGAAAGTTTTTTTTTTCCTGCATCTCTCCCTAAATTTAAGCATAAAGTCCTACTTTTTTCTTTCTCTTTTTCTTTCCTTTCCTCCAATGCCATCCATAGGAGCATCCATGTCCCAAATCCACATCTCCAGCTCCAACACTGTCTTCACTACCTAATACTCACTTTGGTAAAACATGTAAGGTTGTCTCTGATTGTCCATACACAAATTTCCTCCTGACTGCAATACTGAAGGTCATACACACTGTTGGTGTAGGAAAGGTTTGTTTTAAGTCACGGACAGATACTTCCTATCTTAAGGTGGCATCCTACCAAGCCATTTATAAGACCCCGCCCCTTAAAACACCAACAAAGAACTAAAAAGAGGATAGAAATTCAAAACA